TCCATGAAGCTTGATCAATAACAATATTAAATATTATTTATATATATTCATAAACAACACGTAGCACTACAAAAAAGATATAAACAGACGATTTAATGTTAAAATATATTTAAAAAGAAGAATAAAGTAGAATAATACTAAATTAAGATGACGGGATGCAAATCAGACTACAAACCCCAAATTAACTGATCAATTTACTTTTTATTTTCTCATGTTTTTTTCTTTCTTTATAAAATCTATCATGTGTATTTGTGACAAAACGTCTACAGGAATAAACAAAAGGTATTAATCATCTGAAAGTGAGCAAATAAAACCGTCTTTATCTCTAAAATGTCAGTTCAGTTAGATTAAATAAAATAAGTAAATCATGTTTTGAGCACCCACAGATGGACATCATAAATGTGTGTGTGTGTGTGTGTGTGCGTGCGTACCTGCTCGGCGAGGGAGGCGTGTGCATCGAGCCAGTGTTCTGTGTACTGGCGTGACTGGGGAGCTGGCTGGCAGACTGGTTCAACCCACTTCGACTTAACTGAGGCGCCGCGCTGCTGTTCATACTCCGCATGGGAAACCCCAAAGCACCTGCGAGGAGAGCGAGAGGTTGAGCTTTACGACACTTATCAGCGAGGAGATAATCTGAATGTAAACACATGCACACATTAAAGATAAAGGAGGAGGTGAGAGAGTGTGTGGGCTCATCTTACTCTGCGGGCCATATAAACTGGCTCCGAGCTGTGACAGCTGACCCGTTGAGGAAGCAGAGGAAGACGCCAACATCTGAAGACGGAGGAAACACAGAAACATCTTTTATATATCGTCCTGAAAACATCATCAGTTTTGTTCTGCTGGTCGGATTGTGGGTCTTTGTTAAAATTGTATATATTAAGAAATCAAATTAAATTTCTTATTTAAACACAAAAGTTTGACCCTGCAGTGGGTTTACGTCCTCTGGAGAAGCAGAAAGTGTCACTGGGGTTAAATGTTGAATACTAATGTTGGTTCAAACCTTTTTTCTGTTACTTACTTTGACAAATATAAACTATATTTTTATTTAACTAAAATGTCTCAAATATTAAATGTCTATAAGTAAAAGAAGTTTAAAACGTTGGTACCAAACTGTACGATAATTTCACATTTTTGTGTTTTAAAGAAGTTTGTAACGTGAGAAATATTAAGATAATGTAATTTAATGGATCTTTTAAATCTGCTCTGACCAGATCTAACTGACATCACTATTGTTAACAACAAACTGTTCTCACTCTTCATATGTTCATTACAAAACTTCACAAACACACTTTCATAGATCATAAAGTATATTGATCGTTTTGCATAAGAATTCACAATAAATTCAAACGATAAAATATCAGCTGTAATTTAATTATATCCTGATAATTTACAATAATATATATTTCCCATTATCGGAGGATAATTATTGTGCATTTCTACCAAAAGTGTATCAAGGTTTGACAATATAAACCCTCCCTGAGACTACAGTCGAGTTCAAAGTGACAAGAATTGGAAGAATGTGGGAAACAATTATATAAAAATTAATATTTTAAATAATGTTAAAACCACAGTCAGAAGATGACTCACATTAAAATACAGAGAAACAACTAACTAACTTTATATAATCTCAGCAGTTATAGAGCGAAACTAAAAGTCAAATACTGATAAAAATGTAACTGAACAAGAGTTTAACTCACGTCTTTGTCAGCGCGGTGTGGAGGGAACATGGACTGTTGGGTGTAATAGAGGCTGGAGTCGTCCGCGTAGTCGCTCTCTATCCCTCCCTCCATAAACTTCTTCCGGTTAGCACCAAACATACCGCGTGTCACCTGAGGAAGAGGAGGAAGAGGAAGAGGGAACAGTCAGTATTTAATGTCTCCAAATTAGAGCTGCAAGGATTAATGATTAATCATTTTGACTAACTTTAAAAGACAATATGCCCAAATATTCTGATTTCAACTTCTTAAATGCAGATGTTTTTCTGCTTCTGCTCCTCTGTGACAGTAAACTGAATATTTTTAATGGAACAAACAACTTATTGATTAACAGAGAAAATGAGCCCCAACATTTAAGAAGATGTGAATAAAACTTTTATCAGGAGAAACTTAAATTCTGACTGCATGTAATCTGTCTTAATTTTTTAACTTTTATTTTGTAAACCATAAACAATCATATACAACCTGTGATCAGGTTTGCAAACATACTTGTAAAGTGTGTGGAATGACAGTAAGCGGAGCTACAGACGCAGGTGTTATCTGAACAGCACTGACCTCAGATTAAACTGCAACCTCAGACTCGTATCAGCGAGTTAACAGAGAGACACCCGCAGCCAAAACACGGGTTCCTCTCCGCCTCAAAACCACGCTGTTAGTGTGAAAGTCACGTCACAACACAGAGACTTTCACACGAAGCCTCACCGGTGTTTGGAGTTCAACAATGACAGCAGACGGAGCTGCAACCGGGAACTATTTTATCATTTAAGTCGAGCGAATAAGCTTCTACTTTGATTAAATGTTTGTGACATTTTTAAGCAAAACTGGCCCAAATTCTCTCGTTGAAGCCGGTAAATGTTTATATTTTATATTCTTCTTAGCCTGCAATGACAATAAAATACTTTTTGGTGGTTTTGGTCTGTTAGTGGGACGTCTCTAACTTCAGAATTATTCACAAGACAATGAGAGAAGTTACTTCCAGACTAAAACACACTGAAACTAATCGTTAAAGCAGCTCTACCCCAGTAAATATGTTGACCTGAACCTTATCGATAAACAGCGTTCCCACTCTCTTTAATCATTTTCCAGGAGTTTTTGTCACTTGCTCACAAACAGTCACATTATAAACCGCTACGCCCAAAAACATTTACTCCACGTTATTTCTCCTTTTTGTAACACGGCAGGGTTCCTGATGAAGAGTCTCAGGTTTATTACAGGTACGTCTTCAGTGTTTATGGGACTCTTGTTCAGGGCTTCACCATTAATTTAATTATTATTGAAATCGCAATACGACCATGTTCAATATCCAAATCACAGAACCTGCAGTTCTTTAATAAAAGTAAAGTTTATTACAAACAGCATTATAATGAAGTACACTAGTTTGAAAGATGTCCTGGCCCACAAATCCTCTCCAGATTTAAGAATAAAATGTAATGTATGATGAATATAATATATATAGAATAATATAATATATATAATATATATAGAATAATATAATATATAGAATAATAGAATATATATAGAATAATATAATATATATAGAATAATATAATATATATAGAATAATATAATATATATAATATATATAGAATAATATAATATATATAGAATAATATAATATATAGAATAATATAATATATATAGAATAATATAATATATATAAAATAATATAATATATATAGAATAATATAATATATAGAATAATATAATATATAGAATAATAAATATATATAGAATAATATAATATAAGAATAATATAATATATATAGAATAATATAATATATATAAAATAATATAATATATATAGAATAATATAATGCAGTTTTGTGTTTCCTGTGATTTGCATATGACGATTTTCATAATCCTGCAATTAATTGTGCAGCACAAGTTATTTTAATTACTTCCAATAAAATAAAACAGCACAATACAGTAAAGTCCATCAGTGAGATAATAATAATAATAACAATAATAATTAAAACAACTGCACGAGAGTATCACACATTATCATATTTAACATTGTGTGTACAGACTCTGTTCAGCCTGTGAATCGCGGATATTGATCCAGTTCGATCATCGATCTGAGGATTACTTTTGTTTACTGTAGCAGGTTAGCAGTAGCCCACGGTGTAGCAGCGTTAGCTCCGGAGCAACGGCTAACTGAGCGCTTACACGCTTGTAACGTTAAATTAAATGTGTTTTATTTCTTGCAGGTCGGTGTGTTAGAACCAATAAAAGCCCAGTGGACTTTCCTCCACCAGCTGAGTGCTCTGTACGCGCTGCTGCTGTTTGAAAGCTGCAGCATTGTCGCAGAAAGGGCTAGCTAGCGTTAGCCGTGTGAGCTAACGCTAGCTTCGATAATCTGTCAAACTAATCGCGTCTTTAAAACTACCCGAAGGTTTCTTCACAGCACGAGTTTACCTGCTTCTCCTGGTCTTTGTTTTATTTATGAGCCTCACACAAAGAAGAGCTACCGGCAGGCATTTCCTTGTTAGCTGCAAATGTGCCAGGAAGCTAATAAAGGTAGCCAACGGAGCTAACAGCTAATTCCATAGGAATGCATGGGGACGTTAGCATGAGAGCTAAGCGGCTAACAGCGACGTAATAACGGCCCTACGGAAGCTGCTGAGCGAAGTTATAACTTCAACCGGAGAGCACAAAAATCCGGTTAAGATGTGTGTGTATGCAACCGGGCCGCCGGGCCGCCGGGCCACCGGGCCGCCGGGCAGAGGGAACCGGCGGGCGGCTGTGTTTGCGTTCGGGTTTGGGCCTGCTGCGCCTCCGTCGGTTAGTTCCCCAAAACAACAACAGAAAGAAACGCCGGACTGCCGCGCGGTAAGGTCCGGGTTTCCCGCCTCCGGTCGCCGCCGCGGGCCGCCGCAGCTTTCACACGAGTGCAGTTTGATCTGCGGGAGCTTTCAGAAAGTCGCTGCCGGTAAAAATAAACGAAAGGAATAAAAAGAAGAAGCTTACCGCATCAATCTTTCTTCCCCGCTACAATCCAAGATGGCCGACATCTCTTCGCCAATCAGCGAGGATGCTGGGAAGCCTTTCGCCTCTGACCCCTGAGCCTTCATCATCATCTTCATCTTCATCTGCTTCATCTTCATCTTCATCTTCATCATCTTCATCACCTTCATCTTCATCTGCTTCATCATCATCTTCATCTTCATCTTCATCATCATCATCATCATCATCATCATCATCATCTTCATCTTCTTCATCTGCTTCATTTTCATCTTCATCTTCATCTTCATCCTTCATCATCATCTTCATCTTCATCTTCATCTTCATCATCATCATCATCATCATCTTCATCTTCATCATCTTCATCTTCATCTTCATCTTCATCATCATCATCATCTTCATCTTCTTCATCTTCTTCATCTTCATCTGCTTCATCATCTTCATCTTCATTATCACTCTACTGCACTTTACTATAGAGCTCTATTATATTATTATTATTATTATTATTATTATTATACACTTTACTAAACAATACTCTAATCAATAATACTGCCTGGACGTCACTTTACTCTGATCTGATCTGTATTGATCTGATCTGTATTGATCTGTACTCTGACCTCTGTAAAACTTTGAAAAGAAGAAAATATTTTCTCCCTAAAATCTGAAGCAGTTTCACCAAAATCACTGAATAAAGTAATAAAGTTATAAAGTAATAAAGTTATAAAGGTTTTAGATGTCTGTAACACATCAGGCCTCAGAAACACTGAAACACTACAGCGTCTCATTGGACGCAGCTTTAGTATACATATTATATTAATATATATATATATATTAATATATATATATATTAATATATATATATATTAATATATATATATATTAATATATATATATATTTTATATTAATATATATATATATATATATATTAATATATATATATATTAATATATATATTAATATATTATATTAAGATATATATATATATTAATATAATATGTATATATTAATATATAGAACAAACATCTAATCGATTAACAGAGAAAATGAGCCCCACGTTTAAGAAGCTGTGAATAAAACTTTTATTAAGAGAAACCGTTCTGAATGCATGTAACCCGACAAATGTCTTCATTTTATTTAAACTTTTATTTTGTAAACCATAAACCCGTCTCTGTATCTCTGAGTGTAAAAACAGACGCAGTTACACTCAGATACTCAAACAGAGACTAGTTCTGCATCCCTGGAAACAAAGCAGATAAATGAAATGATCAATAAACAATCATATACAACCTGTGATCAGATTTGCAAATATACTTAGAATAAGTTTGGAATAATTGTAAGTGGATCTACAGACGCAGGTTTTATCTGAACAGCACTGACCTCAGAAACCTCAGGGAACTCTAAAATACCATTAATACCTGAATAAAGACTTCTTTGTCATTGCTGGGACATAAACTGGATTATAGGTGATATATGTGTATCTTGTGTATATATATGTGTGTACATATTATATATTTATATTGAGTATATGTATTACTGTATGTATGTTTGCACACCTTGCACAGGCTGAATATATGACACATGTTTACATTATATTAATATCAATGTATAATATCTATGTGTATTCATGTATATCTGTTCACTCATCATATTATATATACATATTATTATTATATTATTAATATTATCATTATATACTGTTATTAACAATAACACTACCATCATGTCATCAGTACTATTACCACCATCTTGCAACTAAAAACTAAAAACCTTACCTACCTCCTTATCTTTTATCTTTTTAAAAAAAATACATTTTCTATCCAAGTATTTTATTCTATTGTTGTATTTTATTCTATTGTTGTATTTTATTCTATTGCATTTTATTGTATTTTAATGTACCTGGCTGCTAAAACGACCCAATTTCCCTTTGAGGATTAATAAAGTCTATCTATCTATCTATCTATCTATCTATCTATCTATCTATCTATCTATCTATCTATCTATCTATCTATATATATATATATATATATATATAGATAGATAGATAGATAAGACCTTAAACTATATATCAGAACTTACTTAAATGTAAACATGGTGTCTCTCTCCCTCTGCCTGTGTTGTATCGCAGCCTCTCTGTGGTTTGTTTCCATAGCCGGTCTGCTCCGACTGAAACTGCTGTTTTTATCATCTACGTCGGTGAATTAAGGATTTATTTCCACCAAACCAGAGTTGGTGATTGTTGGAAACACTAACAGAGACGCTTTTAATGAGTTTTATTCTGTTTCTGTCCACTTTGAATGAAGTTACGATGATCTGAAGGTAAAATGAGTGTTTGTGTCTCTGGAGTCTGGTGGAGAGTGATAGTGATATTACGGCTGTTTGTGGTTAAACTAAAGGTCTATCTCTGTAGGGATCCTTTCCATAATGCTGTCAGACACTGACAATAACAACCTGAGTCTGTCAGTGGAACAAACAACAACTACTGTTAGTGGAACAAACAACAACTACTGTTAGTGGAACAAACAACAACTACTGTTAGTGGAACAAACAACAACTACTGTTAGTGGAACAAACAACAACAACAACTACTGTTAGTGGAACAAACAACAACTACTGTTAGTGGAACAAACAACAACTACTGTTAGTGGAACAAACAACAACTACTGTTAGTGGAACAAACAACAACTACTGTTAGTGGGACAAACAACAACTACTGTTAGTGGAACAAACAACAACTACTGTTAGTGGAACAAACAACAACTACTGTTAGTGGAACAAACAACAACTACTGTTAGTGGAACAAACAACAACTACTGTTAGTGGAACAAACAACAACAACTACTGTTAGTGGAACAAACAACAACTACTGTTAGTGGGACAAACAACAACTACTGTTAGTGGAACAAACAACAACTACTGTTAGTGGAACAAACAACAACTACTGTTAGTGGAACAAACAACAACTACTGTTAGTGGAACAAACAACAACTTTGATGGGTGAATTAGTTTTATTTTGTTTTGTTTTTGCCTGAGCAGCTGGTGCTCTAGAGAACTATCTCGTGGCAAATGAACTGTGTATATATAATCTTTAAATCAGGTGAATCCAGTGTTTACAAGCTCTTACTATTTGAAATAAAGACACTGAGGTCACATTCATTTCACTCCCTGCTCATACAGGAATTCTGGGTAATGAGAAAGTGGACAAACCTGTCAAACAAGTTGTTAGAAAAGAAAACACATCTGTATTAAACCTTCAAAATAAGAGGGAAATGGCAGTCGCACTGGGATCAGGAGTTAGAGGGAAGTCATTTGCATTCAATTTAAAATAGAGCTGGTATTGTGGGAATAGGGCAGGAAATAGAAACACGGAGGTGATAATAGATTGAGAGTGATGAACTACATTAAGAACATGACACAATAATCTGATCATCCAACTGGTCTTTGTGAACATTGTCAGGTACCAGAAACTGTAGTATTAGAGTCATTTACATACAAAAATCAATACATATAATAGATAACACAAAGAACATTGGAAATAATTTTGGACATGTGTGCTAATTAAGAAGGAAACGACCTGAGAAAACACACATCATAAACATTATACAAAGATATATAATGTGTATCATTCAGAAACCTGACCATCCTCTTGAAGTCGATCCATAGATTTTGTTTTTGTTAAAGGAATTTATTTTTATTTACCGGTTTCTATGATGTCTTATTTTGTAGTCCCACAGACTGCGGGCGGAAGTCGTGTGATCGTTACGGTGTATTTACGCAGTCGTTTCTGATTGGACGATCACACTAACGTTCCATCTGACCAATGAACGACCAGCTCGGAGCCGCTGGCGGCCATATAAGGAGGGGTTTGGCGGCGGAGAGACATTCAACTTCATCCCGAAGAAGAAAACTACCTTAAACATGTCTGGAAGAGGAAAGACCGGAGCCGGAAAGGCCAGAGCAAAGGCAAAGAGCCGTTCATCCCGTGCTGGACTCCAGTTCCCCGTCGGTCGTGTCCACAGGCTGCTGAGGAAGGGAAACTACGCTCAGCGTGTCGGTGCCGGAGCTCCGGTGTACCTGGCCGCCGTGCTGGAGTACCTCACCGCTGAGATCCTGGAGTTGGCTGGAAACGCCGCCCGTGACAACAAAAAGACGAGAATCATCCCCCGCCATCTGCAGCTGGCCGTCCGCAACGACGAGGAGTTGAACAAACTGCTCGGTGGAGTCACCATCGCTCAGGGAGGCGTCCTGCCCAACATCCAGGCCGTCCTGCTGCCCAAGAAGACCGAGAAGGCCGTCAAGGCAAAGTAAATCTTCATCAACAGAAACAACACAACGGCTCTTTTAAGAGCCACCCACCTTCTTCTACAGAGCAAACTCCTGCAATCACATTAATATAATATGATCTCTAATTGTTGTAAGCATTTAATTATAATTAACAGGTAACACTTAACATTTAAATGTTTTGCCCCAGAAACTATAATTACCCTTAATAGTGGTGCCTAAGCTACATAAACAATACTTCCAGAATAAATTATAAAATCAAGCCCAAACTTGCTTTACACAAAGCAGGAACCATAGAGGGAATATTAAAGGAATGAATGAAGCTCACATAAGAGTTAATAAGATTAACATGAATTAGTGCCAATAATAGAATTTGAACTTAAGAAAATATATACATGTATAATAAGGGTGTCTAAAACCCAATTATAAATAGTAATGCATGTACCTATATGGTGCTGCATAGAGAAATGAGTATACACTTTAGTTTAATGTGTATAAATACATAAATTATCTCTGCTTCTTGTACACTTTAATTCATGTTTTGTTTTTTATTTACTTTGGAGCTGGTTGCACTTTTAACTAGTTACTTTAACTTAATTAAGTGTCTTTTAATTAGCTGACTAATTGGCATAGTACACCTCTCAATTATAGTCAATTAGGATTTATGTTATTGGAGTTTTATAAATGTTAATCAGAGGTCTAACAGGGAGATTGACCCCAAACATCAGTGATAAATAATAGTGTGTAAAAACAAAAAACAGATCATAGCTCATTCAGCTAATAAAACATTTGGTATAATAAAGGGGAATACTTCCCACTATGTTAATACTTTTGTACCTTTTGGGGTTTAATGAGGTGAATTGGTTTATTTTACAGTGAATATTATAATTACACAAACAACAGCAGGAGATCAAATTTTTAGTTAATTTTAATTTTTTTAATCTTTAATTTAATCTTTTAATTAATTTAGTTTATTTAGTAAAGTTTTTAGTATGTTGGGTGTAAATTGTTAAATTGTAATTGTAGTAGGTAAGAAGTGACTAAAGTATATTTTCAGATTAAGGTGCTTTGCAATACTAAATGAATTACGTATTTTTGCTTTTATTTTGAAGGATTTTTTTTCTGAATCGGAAGTGCAGTGAGTCACAGTCTGCATCTTGAAGAGGAACAGGACTATCGGCGGGCTGAGGTCGAGCTGCCTGTCTTCACGTACGTCCGCATAGTGGATGTAAATACGGGCGCTCCTGAGCAGTTAACCATCAGTTTCTCTTCGGACGAATCTTGACTCTAACAAAATGTCTGGTCGCGGCAAGGGAGGCAAAGGACTCGGTAAAGGAGGCGCCAAGCGTCACCGTAAAGTTCTCCGCGATAACATCCAGGGAATCACCAAACCCGCCATCCGCCGTCTGGCTCGCCGTGGCGGTGTGAAGCGTATCTCCGGTCTGATCTACGAGGAGACCCGCGGTGTGCTCAAGGTGTTCCTGGAGAACGTGATCCGTGATGCCGTCACCTACACCGAGCACGCCAAGAGGAAGACCGTCACCGCCATGGACGTGGTGTACGCTCTGAAGAGGCAGGGCCGCACCCTGTACGGCTTCGGCGGTTAAACCAACGACTGACTAATACAACAACAACCCAACGGCTCTTTTAAGAGCCACCCACACTGTCTGCAGAGCTCCGTCCTGAGTCTGAACACACATTGTAAACAGTCTAGTGTCACAATATATTATCTATAAGTGATTATGGCGTACCCAACCAAAGCCAATTACATTTAGTTAACAGTTATGTTTAGGCCTACAGAGTACCAAACGATGTCACAAGCATTGAAGAGAAAGAAACTGGTCTTGCAGGCTGGAAGGTGTAAATCTGGGCGCCATTTTGTTCAGTGTACGTGGCTGCTTCTTGCCTCAAACTACACCTGAGTCGGGTCTGACAAAGTTATGTTGTAACATCAATTCCTTGCATTACTTATTTGCATTGTGTGTATATAATTGAAATGTATTAGTTTTAATATTATCTTTGTCTTTTGTATTCAACTTCTTGTATCTTTCACATGAACGCTTACAGCACTTTAAAGGAAGTAAATTCAGTTTAACTGGGTGACAAAATGATGTGAGTGACCATTAACTATATCTGAATTTCTAATGGAAATCAAAATATATAACTACATACATTGTGAGCACTGGGGCTCCTGGCTGATCCCACACCAACAGACCAGACCAATGTTGTCAAAGTCACTCAGATCCCCACACTGCCTGTTACCTCCCAGCCCTAATAATTGGTGTTATCAATACACTGCTCAGTGTTAGGGCTGATTGGTGCATATTATTCATATACACACATGCTGCATCTTTTCTATATCTATTAGATATGTGAAGATAAAACCACTGTTGATATTTCTATTAAGGGAAATGAATTAGAAAAATATTTCTGATCACAGATCTTTCACACATTTGTCAGCATAGACTATTGTGGTGTCTTGTTAACTATGCAATTCAAGTTTAAATAATGTGTAATACTAAAGAAATCGTTAGTCTCTACCGTTGCTTATGTACATTAAAATGTTTCCATACAGATCTATATATTAGATAATATTGGAACCGCCGCTCTCAGGTTGAAGTATGTGGCTCTTAAAAGAGCCGTTGTGTTGCGTTCAGGGTGTGGAGGATATTTAAGCCCTCTCTCCGCGGATACGGCGGGCCAGCTGGATGTCTTTGGGCATGATGGTCACCCTCTTGGCGTGGATGGCGCACAGGTTGGTGTCCTCGAACAGACCCACCAGGTACGCCTCGCTGGCCTCCTGCAGAGCCATGACGGCGGAGCTCTGGAAGCGCAGGTCGGTCTTGAAGTCCTGAGCGATCTCCCTCACCAGGCGCTGGAAGGGCAGCTTGCGGATCAGCAGCTCGGTGGACTTCTGGTAGCGGCGGATCTCCCTCAAAGCCACGGTACCGGGCCTGTAACGATGGGGCTTCTTCACGCCGCCGGTGGCGGGGGCGCTCTTACGGGCGGCCTTGGTCGCCAGCTGCTTCCTGGGGGCTTTGCCTCCGGTGGACTTACGGGCGGTCTGCTTGGTTCTTGCCATTGTTGATCGGTAACTGCGATCCTTTACTTCAGGGAAGTAGTAATGATTCCACTGAGTTTCAGTCCGCCTTATATAGGCAGAGCCGGAGCGCCGCGGACGCTGATTGGTCCCCTGCAAGCACGTGATATAGTCGATCTCTATTAGACAAAAGAAATTTGAAAATTCAAACTAACCGCCCCAACGGCTGATAGTGAGTAATATAACACTGCCAAAGCTTTGTTATTATCCTACAAATCCATATTATTAGCAAATTAACACACACCAACTGACTGCTGTTATTTAATATAAGTACTACATTTATGTAAATACACTTTCTATGACAGGTTAAAAATCCTGAATTATAAAAATTGAATATAGAATAAATTAGTATTTGAACTGGTGTGTAAAAAGTATTTAAGACAGGAGATAGTGTATTTAGAAATCAGAGTGAGGTTAGGGTTAGCTAATAGGGTTAATACATAATAATAATAATAATAATAATATCCTCATTGGTATCTTTAAACCTGAGATTTTAACAATATTCATAGTTAATTGATTGTTTAAGTCATTGTAAATTGTCATTTGCTGGTGAATCACATTTCTTTTTTTACTTTCTTCTGGAAAACATCTGGCTTAATAATTTTAATTGATCAAAATTAGCCCAAGAATAACTGTTAATCTACAGTACAGAATTACAGAATAAGTATATCAAATACTGGTCAGTTCGGGGGTTTGGACCCCAAAAAAAGGTTGAGAACCAGATTTATTCTTGAAATGAGACCCTAAAACACCAAATTGTGTAAAACTAGTTTACTTCTTTAGTTTCCTCACAGAGCTCTAGAGGTTATAATGACTTTATAATTATGTTATATTTTCTTAAGCAACCTTTGATGTACTTTATTGCTGTAATATTCCTATGAGTTTATTTAAAAAATATTTGTCTAGTGCTGTTGAGAAAGTCCAAATCCTCACCATCATATGTATATTCTATATAAGGCTCCATAAGCTATAAAAGAGGAACATGTACCTGTGATTGTATTATATTTAATTTCCAAATACATCTTTAAAACCTCTGGCAGTGGAAAGCCAGACATCTCCCTGTATTACTTTAGAGCAAACTAGTCTCACCTCAGTCATCTATAAAATATATAATATCTAATGTCAGAAGCAGTGCTGGCATTTTCTTTACTGGTAGCAGAAAATCTTTTATTTACCATTAAAATATTGTAGTAAAGAATGTTATTAGTTTAAATAAAATTACAGCAAATATGGGATCTCTTTAGTGAGGTTTAACAAAGTAGTTAAAATGTTTAGTATCTTGCAAGTTATGAAACACATGATGAAACTTTGCTCTTTCTGAATAAAGTGTGTGGCTCTTAAAAGAGCCTTTGGTTTGATGTTGGGAGGAAGCGGAGCCGTTTACTTGGAGCTGGTGTATTTGGTCACGGCCTTTGTCCCCTCGGACACGGCGTGCTTGGCCAGCTCGCCGGGCAGCAGCAGGCGGACGGCGGTCTGGATCTCCCTGGAGGTGATGGTGGAGCGCTTGTTGTAGTGAGCCAGACGGGAGGCCTCCCCGGCGATACGCTCAAAGATGTCGTTGACGAAGGAGTTCATGATGCCCATGGCTTTGGAGGAGATCCCGGTGTCGGGGTGGACCTGCTTCATCACCTTGTAGACGTAGATAGCATAGCTCTCCTTCCTGGTCTTCCTCCTCTTTCTGTCTTTCTTGCCGGCGGTCTTGGTCACGGCTTTCTTGGAGCCCTTCTTGGGCGCTGTTTTCGGTGCTGGATCAGGCATGATGAGTTACTCGCTGTTCAAGTGAGATACAAGTCAGAGATGGTGGGCTGGTTCTTCTTAAATACACAATATGCAAATGAGCCTGCGCTGTCCCCGCTCTGTCATTGGTTGGTTGTCCTTGCGTCAGCGAGTAACTATGCGGAAGTCTCGAAACGCTACACGGCTGCTTGTTATTTGGCTGGTTAAAGTGAAAGCAGAAGGATTTTCACTTCATTTTATCTCTGCAGACAGACACGGTGCTTTATTTTCTTTTAAATGTTAATTAAACTCATTTTTTATTGATATTTTATTGTCCTACATTGTATTTAGCTTTCTCAGCCAGATATGATCGACATCTTCCAAGAGCCACATATCTGTGGTTGTTAACAAAACTATAATATAATATAATATAATATAATATAATATAATATGATATAATATAATATAATATAATATAATATAATATAATATAATATAATGTAACAGCAGGGTTGTAGAATGACATTTAGATGTAGGGGAACTACATTTAAGTAATGCTACTTGTAAACTCATAGAAATAAAATGGTAATTTGTAATTATAACGATGAAACCATTGAAGCCGTTGTTTGCTTAACATTAGGAATACAACATTCACTCTGATTACACTGCAGAATAACACAGAGATCCAACAGGTGACCAGAGGAAGAGAAATCTCAGTATATTTAGTTTCAGCCTTTAAAATCCTCCATATAAAAAACACCTGTATAATATTTTTGGCCTAAATATCAACATATTCAATAAAGGTAAAAGGTAAACGACACCAAAACATTATTTTTTGTGATTTCTGACAAAAATGATATTTTCAATCTATGAAATTATTTTTTTTATTCAAGTCAGAAATAAACAATCTTAGCATTTCTTCCTTTGTGTAACAAACTGCAGGATACTGTGAAATCGTCAGAGTTATTATAGTTTTTATGTTGCTTTTAATGTTTGTTTTCAATTGAATTTTGTGTTATATATTTTAGTTTTGTAAGTACACAAAATAGTTTCACTTGGTCTTTTTATTCCAGTAAACTAAAGTTATTTTTCACACCTAGTTTATAGTGTTTTAGTTTAGTATAACTAATGATGAACTATAACAACCTCAAAAATGTAGGATCACAATAATGAAGTTACAGTTACTTTTGGATTACCTCAACAACAAATATGTAAATAAAGACAAGAGAAAAGAAATATCAATAAGAAGTATTGATCCTAGTGTATTTTATAAGACAACAATGTGACCTCAGATAAGTAAATGGAAACCAAGATTTTTAGCATCAGAAATGTTTCTGCTGTTAAGTTTATTTTTAAAGAAAAAATGATGTATTTTAAAATGTAATCCTGCTAAATAACCTAATTTCTACCTTCTTTGTATACTGATTACATAACTCATTACTCTGTTCATGATGTCGATTCAGAGATATTAGAAGATATTAACTTTAATATGAAAGCAAATGTATTTTCATATGAGAGAATACATCCATCACAATCACAGACAATGGCTTCAACAGTAAATTACATTTAAATAGTCATTAAATGTTTAAATTGATAATAATTCATAAATGTTTTCCAACACAAGAACGGAGATTTGTTGGTATTTAAATGTATGTGCCTACAACAGAGATCATTTTAATAATAATAACTTTTATAATTGTTATAACTTTTTGTCTTAAAATAAACACACATATTGTTTGACTCATCCAAGCCTGAGTGTATTTAGTTACAAAGGCACCTCACTGCAGTCACACCCACAAATAGTATGAACCATCAACCGTCAGATAAGTTGTGGCCAAAGATTTCAGAATGAAAAGAAATGTTGATTACATTTTACTTGAAGGTATTTACATAAGAGTGACACTGAATGGCCCACTGAGTCTGAATGTGACCTTTCCATTTCCCCCCATTAAATAAACTGGTTTATAAATAAAGAAACATCAAATGTAAGGTTTAACACGTTTATTACAAAACACAGCAATAGTTTCAGCAATATGGGAAGTAGATAGAAGCATCTATTTAACTTGGTAAAGTCTTTGGTTTTGCCAAAACTTTGCTGGAACACCACTTCCTACTCGTTGCCATCTTCCTCTCTTGGAGATCCACGTCGGTGTTCTTCACATCCTATCAAGGCAAGTTGTGAAGGTATAAAATGATAATGAAAATGAAAGGAGGAAAGTCTGACTGATGTAAGCACTATCCCCCAGCAGACGGTAATCCCCCAGCTTCTCCTGCCATTCTTGGAAAAATGGGGAGGACCGCAGCAGCCGGGCATCATGCACTCACAATCCCCTGGAGGAGAAGTAGTAGGACTCCCTGTTCATGTAGTCCTCTGGCCGGTGGCATCCTGATGTGGCACCATCAGTTGCTCCAATGACCCCCTCAAGACCAGATGTGTGTTGGAAAACTGGTGGCAGACCCCCTCTTCTGGTTAGATACCACAGGAACATGAGCACCTTACTTGACTGACTAGACAAAATGGCGCCCAGATTTACACCTTCCAGCCTGCTAGACATTTTCCTTTTCTGTGTACCTTACCTCCTCTTTCGTACCATTACTTTATGCCCTGTTTGTATTGTGTATATTTTGATAATTGTATTGTTATTTTGCACTATTAAAGTTGGCTTTCTAATCTCAACAAGAGTGTACAGTGACAATAAAGGTATTCTATTCTAAAGTCTTTATAATCTATAGACAGTGTGTTCAGACTCAGAACGGAGCTCTGCAGACAATGTGGGTGGCTCTTAAAAGAGCCGTTGGGTTGTTGTTGTATTAGTCAGTCGTTGGTTTAACCGCCGAAGCCGTACAGGGTGCGGCCCTGCCTCTTCAGAGCGTACACCACGTCCATGGCGGTGACGGTCTTCCTCTTGGCGTGCTCGGTGTAGGTGACGGCATCACGGATCACGTTCTCCAGGAACACCTTGAGCACACCGCGGGTCTCCTCGTAGATCAGACCGGAGATACGCTTCACACCGCCACGGCGAGCCAGACGGCGGATGGCGGGTTTGGTGATTCCCTGGATGTTATCGCGGAGAACTTTACGGTGACGCTTGGCGCCTCCTTTACCGAGTCCTTTGCCTCCCTTGCCGCGACCAGACATTTTGTTAGAGTCAAGATTCGTCCGAAGAGAAACTGATGGTTAACTGCTCAGGAGCGCCCGTATTTACATCCACTCTGCGGACGTATGTGAAGACAGGCAGCTCGACCTCAGCCCGCCATTATTCCTGTTCCTCTGTGACTCGCTGCACTTCCGATTCAGAAAAACAGCCTTCAAATAAATATTATAACATATAATAAATAATAATTTTCTATAAAAGCAAAAACATTTTAATAATAAGGTCAAGTCACCAAATTCACCAAGAATATTCATTCATTTATTTTTATTTCAGTATGATTCCAGACTGTTCTGAGTTGTGCAGTTAGATATTATTATTAATATGCCGGTATATTAACTTAATTGGGATTAATCAATGGATGTGAAATTTGCATCAACTGATACTCAAATTAAAACCTGTCACACAGGTGATGTAATGGGCAATCATGTTTAAATATCTACTGATGATCAATAATAAGTACATAATGTATTATAAGTAATAAGTACATATCCATTGATAGTGGTTATGATGATTAAGTAATTGATAAAGTAGGTGTCCTGTCCTGATTTCCTGTGTCACAATATTATTGTCTCACTCAGGAATATTCACATATCTCCAATATGATATGAACACTATATGGGAATGATTCATTATATTTATTCACTAAGGAGCAATAAATATTTCACTATAGGGCCTTTTATATTCTGACAACCTTAATACGCAGAGCCACATCCAAAGACAAAACTGTAATAGTTTGAATTACTTCATACCTGCATCAATAAATGTTTTATCATCAGAAGTCTGAGAATATTTCTTATTTATTAAACTTTATTGAGATTTCACATTAAAAAACAACACAAACAACTGTATAATAAGCAATAAAGTGATTAAATACAGAGAAGTTGTCCATCCGGTATGTTACTGTGTTGGGCTAGTTACTCAATACTAAAAAAAAAAAGTATTACTTTACTTCTAATTATTATTACTCCCTGTCAACAGTAATTAATTAATTCATCATTGGTCAATATATTACTAAATATTAACGAGTTGGCTCCTGAATAACAGGTGATTCCTTTCGTTCCTGTTTTATTTTTTTTACATATATCAATAAAAGACATAATAATGGGATTATTTTATATCCTGTATGTGTTGAATACAACCAATAAACATCTGATTTTGGTAATAACACTGAGAATCGAGCATGGTGAGACGGTTAAACTGGTTCCAAATATAAATAAAACATTCAATACAAATGTGTTTCTGTTTTTTACCGAGCATAATGTAAAGTAGCTAGTATCTCTCTTCACCTTGTTGTTCCTTATTGCTTTATGTATTATTGTGTGATTAATCACTGCTTTCATGCCTTTTATATTTATGCTATTTTTAAAGTGTAACATTTGATAGTTTAATCTTTGTAAATAGGACTATATAAACTGTAGATGTCATGAATCGTAGATGCAGCCTTGTTGTCACCTGTAAGGCTCATGTAACAAAAATGGTTCATTCTCAAGGGGAAATTCATAAAGAACTAGTGATTAATGTTTAAGAAAAAAAACCTATAAAAATATAAACTCATGGCTCTATTGTCTCGTTTTGGCGCCACAAGCTGCTTTGAGTAAACAGCAGATGTCACTGTTACACAATTAGTTGCATGTGTGTGAAGGTTTAATTTCATTTGTATGAATTGTGATTAAAATGTAAATATCTACATTTAGTAAAGACCTATACATTTTGATAAAGATAAGTTGTTTGGAGTTTGCTCTGTAGAAGAAGGTGGGTGGCTCTTAAAAGAGCCGTTGTGTTGTTTCTGTTGATGAAGATTTATTTTGCCTTGACGGCCTTCTCGGTCTTCTTGGGCAGCAGGACGGCCTGGATGTTGGGCAGGACGCCTCCCTGAGCGATGGTGACTCCACCGAGCAGTTTGTTCAACTCCTCGTCGTTGCGGACGGCCAGCTGCAGATGGCGGGGGATGATTCTGGTCTTCTTGTTGTCACGGGCGGCGTTTCCGGCCAACTCCAGGATCTCAGCGGTGAGGTACTCCAGCACGGCGGCCAGGTACACCGGAGCTCCGGCACCGACACGCTGAGCGTAGTTTCCCTTCCTCAGCAGCCTGTGGACACGGCCGACGGGGAACTGGAGTCCAGCACGGGAGGAGCGAGTCTTTGCCTTCGCCCTCACTTTTCCGCCACCGACCTTTCCTCTTCCAGACATGTTTAAGTTGCTTGTTTAGTTTACCGAAAAACTGAATACCTCCTCGCTGACAGGCCCGGCTTATATAGAGACCTCCGCCGTCGCTCATTGGTCGGTTACAGCGGCAGTACGATCGGCCAATCAGAACGCTCCACGTCAAGTTACTGTAGCACGTAGACTCCCTACAGTATCCGTGATTTTACCAAAATAAGACGTGACAAATAAAAAAGCCATTTAATAATAAAATGCACTAATACTTATTTTGTTTGTTTAATATACATCCAACAAAATATATGTTTATCAAATAGTGTAATGATAAAATTAAAACAGAATAAATATAGTAAATGATTTAAATAAAATGATTTAACAGATCAAATTGAATGAAAATAAATCAAATAATAACTGCAATGATTTATGCAATGTTAAAGGTGCAGTGTAATATCAGGATCTTTGGTTACTCTGTTAAATAACTCTATTAAAGCTGCTTCTCTTGTTATCTTTACATCTTCTTAATTTTCTTTATGTTATGACTTCAGAAAAAAGACTGATACAGTCAGTAAGAATTAAACTTATTCCAAAACTAAACTAGCTTTGTGCTTTCTGTTATAGGATATATTATTTTGTCCAGCCCGTTTATATCAGAAAGGTTAGGCTGAGTAACAGAAGCACCTCAGTATAATGCAATTAAACAGTAATAGTGTAAAAATACTAGATTATAGGCTCATTATTGATCTGTTATCGGTGCGGTGTATAACATTTATGAGGACGTATTGGCAGAAATGTACTCATTCATGGAGTCCGCTGTGTTTCAACAGTAGCTATGAAGGGTAAAAACCAAACACTGGCTCTAGCTTGGGCCTTTTGCAGCCACCGTAGTTTCTCATACACAATTGGAAAGAGATGGTGAGGTGAGGGCGTTGCAATCTGCAACTACACTGCTAGACACCATCCACACAGTCTTTAAAGTAAATTCAGAATAAAATGTTTTTAGGCTGATGAGGAAGATTAGGAGCTGTCCACAGTCAGTGGCGTCTGAATGCCACAAATATAAATAAAAAGAATAAAACCTGATTTTGTTGTTGTTTTCACTCTTTGAGCTTTTCATTTGTCTTGTATTTGTTGTTTTGTTTACTTATTAAAGATTCTTAAAAACAAAAGCACCTGAAAAAGGACAACAGCATTTACATCATTATGAAAATATACATTTTATTATTATATAAAAATATATTATCTCAAACTAACTACATACCTTTTGTTTTTGACTTTCCTTGTCTTTGTGTTTTTCATATATGAACCATGTTACTTTAACTGTATTTTGTGTTTTATACACAGCAACAAAAAATAAAATGAAGAAATAGTAAAAAAGAAAAAGGAGATTACAGTATATGAACAGATATTAATCATAAAGTTGACGGTGTAAATTGTTGATACTGAGCAGATCTGAGGGACATGGATGATAAACACGAAACCTGAAAGTAATAATAATAAATATTTATAAACAGTCTTCAGACCAGCTGAAATATTAATATGACTCAATTTATAACTTGTGTTATAGACTGCAAACATTACCTGCAACCCTAATTACAATTACATGTCACCAACTTAATTAAAAGTGTGTGTGTTTATATATATATATATATATATATATATATATATATATATCTAATATAAGGCTGTCTGTTCTCTCTGTCCTCATCAAGACTCAATATAAAACTGTATTATAAACACTGTATAATCTCATTTATATTTGGGGTTTTAACAACTGACACTGAATCCACTGATGTACCTGCAACATGAATGAGATGGTCTATAGTTATTAAAATGTTGAAGTTTCTCAATATAGTGTAATAGTCCTATAATGTCTATAAATTATTATATTATCTATATAATCTTTATACAGTCTGCACTCTGTCCTCTCCTCACTACAAACTGCCAGATTAGATTATAAATCCCACTGATTTATATCAGAACACCTGATTTTATCCTAATTCCGTTATATTTCCAACTAAAACTACATTATATTTTACACATTTGAACCACTTTGTAAATCAGACAAACAGGAAAAGTGCTCTCTGTGATTTGGGTGGCTCTTAAAAGAGCCGTTGTTGATGAAGATCAGGTTGTTGTTTACTTCTTCGCTGGTTTCTTTGCTGCTGCCTTCTTGGCTTTGGGCTTAGCGGCTTTGGGTTTAACCGCCTTCTTGGCTGCCTTCTTCGGGGTAGCGGCCTTCTTGGGGGCGGCTGCCTTCTTCACCACCTTCTTGGGGCTCTTGGTCGCCTTCTTCACGGCCTTGGCTGCGGCAGGTTTCTTCGCCTTCTTGGGGGTCGCCGCCTTGGCTTTGGGCTTCTTGGCGGCCGTTGGCTTCTTGGCGGCCGCCTTCTTCACCGGAGACTTCTTCGCCTTCACCACTTTCTTCACCACCTTCTTGGGCTTCTCGGCGGTCTTGCTCGCCTTGAAAGACCCGGACGCTCCGGTTCCCTTGGTCTGGACGAGGGCTCCTTTCCCCACCAGGCTCTTCACGGCGCGCTTGATGTGGACCGCGTTGTGCTCCACGTCGTAGCCTCCAGCGGCCAGCGCCTTCTTCAGGGAGATGTAAGACACTCCTTTCTTCTCCTTGGAGGCGGCCACGGCTTTCAGGATCAGCTCGCTGGCTCCTGGTCCGCTCTTCTTGGCGGGCTTGGCGGCCTTCTTCTTGGGTGCCTTGGCTGGGGCAGCCGGGGCGGCGGTTGGTGCGACTTCTGCCATCGTGTAGATTCAATTCTCGACTAGTCCGATATGACTGATGGAGAAATCTCCGGCAAGGGAGGAACTTAAACACACCATGAGAACCGTGGAGACTCAACTCAGCCCGCCGCTCGCCACTGCGCCAGGAATACTCAGACACTTTGTGTTTTCTCCTCGCCAATAAATGTAGAAAATACACACCTGGAGGACCCATTAAAGTATAAAAATGATTTGCAATCATAGCGGAGAAGTTTGTCTACATGTGGAAGTCAAATAAAGCTTTAAAGATGTTTGTATTTAGTTTGGGAAGCCTTTAAACCTCTCACATCGGCCGCCGTGAGAGGCTCTGCTGCGGGTCTTTTCCTTCAGATTTCTCTTATAAATCCTTTAAAATACATCAGAAACACACTAAAATGAGTTTAACAATAAGAGAAGATGTTTGTTCAGAGAACCAAAGTAAAAACATCCAACTGCTGTTCTTATTTATTTAATAAACGGGAGTTATTTTGGTACCTGCAAACACACTCCCGTTGGTAACTGCATACTGGTTGAGTTACACTTCCTGAACCTGAGTGTGTCATTAATTTACCACAATTGTTCTTTATTTATTTATAATACAACTTAGATCATATTATTAGAATCTGAAATGTGTAAGATATTGATCTAGCACTGTCAGAGCACAAAGGCTCATACATAGCCCCCAAGTTCCATATAAACTACCACAAACTGTCACAACTACATACAAAGCTATATGTTCATTGACTTTCTTATAATATCAAAGACACACATCAGAAACAATGATTATTAAATACATTTATACACAATTTCAACATAAAATCCATAAATAAAAAGGGAGTTAAATAACCATAAGACAATATTAATAATAGCCTATAATGAATATGACCTGAAGGCTGACTTTACTGTGTCACTAACGCTGCTTTATTAAGGATTCAGCTCTCAATATAAACATTATCAATACTCATTAATACTATTTATTCATTATACTCCTGTTTGTCATATAACATAGTATTCTGATGTGTTATGTATATCTTTATATATCTTTATATATTGTATTATGTACATGGTTGAGACTCTATTTTCATATTTCTATATATATTGTAATATAATGCATATTTGTTATATGTGAAATGTTCTTCTTATGATTATTTTAATATTTCTGGTACTTGAGTTTATCTTATATGCCACTTTCTACTTTTACTTGATTTCAGAGGGAACAATTGTTCTTCATTTCGCTGATTTTCACACAAAAAACATAAGAAATGTTTATGAAATAGGAGATTTTGTTATAAATGAACTGAAACCGTCAGTCGCTTTTTAAATGAATTGATTGACATGAAATTAACTCATGGTTCCACCTTTACAAATCACTTTGAATTTTTGTAATAATTTTAATGTATTTGTAATAATTTTGAGGTTTGGACTGACGCGTTGTGAAGGAGTAACTTTGGACTAACTCTGGGTAACTATTTTCATCATTTTTACAAAGCAAACAATCAATGGATTAATGGATAAAACAACCAGCAGATTAATCCATAATTTAAAATAATCATTAGTTGCAGTTCAAAACAAAATAGTTCAACAGTAAAAACCTGCTTTTACATTAAAACATGAGTCAGAATAATCTAATATTTACAGTCTTGTATTAATACTTTCACTCACATTAAGGATCTGAATCGTTCCAATGAGGTGAAAATAATATTAGAAATAACTCTCATTATAAATATAATGGATTTATTTCAGGTTAATGAACTACTGAGGGACACAACTAAGCCAAATAACAAATTATTTAACTATGCAAAGAAGAAAACTTAAGTTATCATTAGTAAGAGAGAACCAGTACTGAGCTCCAGGAGGGTTTTTGAAGGCGCTCTGACACTCAGGCCTCAGGTGTGACCCCTTTGTACCTGCACAGAAAGCAGCCATGTTCCTGATTCAACCTCTTTAATATTCATTATGTTTTGATGAGTCACTTAGGGATCATTTTTAGGGCCCGAGCACAAACTATTGCTCCACTAGAATAGGAGCCTTCAGCTACCAAGCTCCGCTCTTGTGAAACCAGCTTCCAGTTGTGGTTCAGGAGTTTTTTTGCAATTGCTAACACACTAAAATGACATAGCACAATTATTTAAACTGACACACAGAGAGCAAAACCTCTTCTCAAGTCTCCAAAACTCTAAACACATTTTCTGCTTTACATACATTTTTAAATGCACTGAAGGTTCTCTGCATAAGACACAACAATCTGACATAAAGTCACATGTTCACATTTCAAAACTCTGCCATTCAAAATGACACTACTTGAGCTAATTGGCCAATATATGATCCACCTGGACAAACACCTCAATGGTTCATTGTTACCACTTCAATCAGGAAGGAAGCACTTTAAAAAGACCACAGGTCGTTTTTTATATATTTTTTCTGCACATTTTTCAGTTTACTGTTTTTTTGTGAGCACATTTTTGTTCACTCCAATGTAAATATATCTGCTGTGCATATGTTGCACTGACTTGTTTGATGAAAAATTTAAAAATAAATGTTTCAACAGCCTGTGTGTGTGTGTGTGTGTGTGTGTGTGTGTGTGTGTGTGTGTGTGTGTGTGTATCTGCAAATATTTCTGTGCATGTGAACAATCTAAAGAATTTTCTACAATTTGAACTATTTTAGTATTATGGCAAAGCATACTAAAGATGAGAGTGCTTTTCATTACGCCCAACAGTGTGTAGTTGGTTAGACAAACATCTGCTAATATGAATGAAGTGTGTGTCATTTGGTACAAACGTTTGATTTTGATAATGCTCTATGTAGTTTTGGTTGCAGAGCTTCGTTTTGCAGGATATATGAGGTATTTTGTGGTTTTGTGAGTTGGATTAAGTATTTTGATAAAACCAGCCTAGTTTGTAAAATTTTATTTTAGCAATTGGAAAAAAAACTGTAATAGTATGGTGGCTCCTCCTGGAGGTCAAACTGTTATATGAGCACTAGAATGATGTTAGTTAGTAGTTTGTACTTTTTTGTTTTTACTTCAGTGGAGTGAAGTTTAATCAGTATTTACATCCACTGGAGTAACACATTTATGTAGTTGATCAGGGTAGCAGTGGAGCTCCAGCTCATAATAGTCATCTAAGTCTGGTGGCGTCAGATTTTGGCGTTCATCATCTGATTTACGTGTCTTTTTCACTGTGTGGTCTACGTGTGATAAGCTGGCACATAACACAACCGCAGCATCTTCTTTTCATATTATATTTCATTCATTGGTCACATGATTACGGAAGAGGCTTAGGGCCAAATGCCAAACTTTTTTACACAATGATCTGTACATTTACTGAAGTAAACACTGTACTTTTGCCAACTAATAGTCTTTTAACAGTGAGTGCTGTATAGTTTGAGTCTCAGTGGAGGAGATGCTGGGTGCGGTGGCTTTGTGGAGTCTGATGGTATAGAAGAGCCTATTAGCACTAAACGAGCCCTGTGGAGAGCACTTGTTCTATTTATGCAAATATTTTGTTTACATTTCACACTTGCTTTGTCAACGTAAATGTCTGTTCTCCCCTGATAATAAACCTGAGAGGGACACAGCAGGAGGTGGGGGGGGTTGACTACTACTACTACTACTACTACTAAAATAATAATAATAATAATACTAATAATAGTCTAAATGTATGATAAATGATGAAAAACAGTGTTATCAGAGCAAATATTTTTATTTTGTATCTATATATTTTATTTATTTCTTAATTAAACAATGTATTTCAATCCAACTTTAATCCAAGTACTTTATGTTTGGACTTCCTAAAAAATAAGTTAATAAAAAAGATAAAATGTTAATTTTATGTGTATATAACACATCACTGTGCTTTAATGATTAATTGTCTCAAGTATCTGTGAATGCTGTGAATTGAACTAATGGATGACTTTTGAGTGTGTTTGCAGTCACCAAACTAACCTCTGTTTAATACAGAATTAACTGCCAGAGCTGACTGATTTTACTTCAGATCTTTAGACAAACATCTACTTTCACTGTCAAACTGGTTTTAGTGGATTTCTGGTGTATTTTAAAGGATTTATGAGAGAAATCACAAGGAAAAGACCCGCAACAGTGGCTCTCAAGGCGGCCGATGTGGGAGGTTTAATGGCTTCCTAATCTAAATAAAAACACCTTCAAAGCTTTATTTGACTTCCATATTAAGACATACTGTTCCACTATGATTTAAAATACATTTTACACTTTAATTCTTCCTCCATATATGTTTTTTAGACGTTTATTGGTGAGGAGAAAACACAAAGTGTCTGATTATTCCTGCTGCAGCGGTCGGCTGGCTTGAGTCTCCACGGTTCTCATGGTGCGTTTAAGGCCCTCTCTCACCGGAAGTAGGCCTTCATTTGGAAAAACCAGCCAAATCGAGGGAGTTTCTATGGTACCACGATGGCCGAAGACTCAAAGAAGACCAAGATCCCGACCAGAGATCTCATCCTGAAAGCCGTGTCCGCCTGCACGGACCGGAAAGGTCTGTCTTTCTGCGCCCTGAGGAAGGCGCTGGCCGCGGAGGGATACGACACGGAGACGTACAACGCCATCCACCTGAAACGCTCCGTGAAGAGCTTACTGGAGAAAGGTCTGCTCGTGCAGGTGGCCGGACGCGGGGTATCCGGGTCCTTTAAGGCCGCAGATAAAACCAAGAAGAAAGTGAAGAAAGACGCCGATAATGCGAAACAACCGGCCGCCATGACGAGACCCCAGACAGCGAAGACACAGACGGTGAAGGAAGAGTCCGAAGACAGCGAGCGAGAGGCCTAAAAAGTAAACCCACCAAGTTTGCTAAAGGCTCTTTTAAGAGCCGCCCAAATGTCAAACATAGGAGCTGATTTCCAGTCTTATGTAACATTACTTACAACATTATAAGTTAATTTCCTTCTGTGCATGGGGATTTCGGGCCCAGCCAGGGGGTGATCGACCCCTGACTTGTGTCCGAGTTGGTATCCTGATTTACGGATCCACATCCACCATCAGGCCTCGTCAGCATCCTCCAGTTCTGTGTTGTCCTTTTTACAGTTTTGACAGGTTAAACAAAGAACTACAGACCAACATTAAAACTGATCTTTTTTTGCTCAAATCTGAGCTTTTTAATAAATTGTGCTAAAAATTGTGCTGTTTCAATAAAGTCACATAGTACCTTTTTATGGCCAGAACCAGGATTAAAACATACAAACAATACAATCATAATCATAAAGTGAGGGAGAATTAAAGACCCCCATCACTAAAAATAAATACTAACAATAAAACACACTGGGGCAAATAAGTCAAACTGTTAAAATATACAAATTAAAGAATAAAACACGAATACACATCTAATACATGATGAGAATAATAATACAATATGACATATTAAGCAGCGTGTTAGAATAAATAAAATACTGGTCCAAATCAGATGGTTCTGATGTTTTTGCAATGAGACATCCAGTGTACATAACAGACATAAGCACGTATAAAATCACCTAAACAAAACAAACAGAAACTCCTGAATATGAAAACATATGTGATTGTCCATTAACCACAGTTTATATATGTTCTGTGGGTAAAGTTTGACTTCTACACATCTCAACAACCAAGATCACTTTAGGACCGAGACCTTCTCACACTGGAATCAGATGTGAATCACATTTAAAAATATAATGTGAACGAAGCAAACATAAATAAATCAGATCTGAGCAATAAGACTTGCAGTGTGAATTTAAACAGTTTGCTTGAACGGCCTCCAAATGAAGATATTTGAACTAAAAAAACATTATGGTTGAACATGAATAACACATTGATTAGAAATATCAAAAGGAGGCATTATAAATCAATACAGTGTTATTTCCAAATCTTCAGACATTTTTTAATTGAACTTAAGCCGATCACTTTAATGTGTTATGGTGGTAATTCTCTCTTTTTTAGCATGTTACTCTTATAATTAATCTAAAGTAATGTGTTATAAACTCTGCAGCGAGCAACAACATCTGTATATTTAAGTCTTTTTCACTTGTTTGTTATGTTGGGCCACTCTGAGCCTTACTGGAGCATTAAGTCATAATCCCTGTTTGTATTAAAGGAGCAGTTTATAGGATTTAATCTTCTCCGTCTACCTCATAAGAATCTATTAATATCTTCTGGACACAAGGTGTCTCCTACTTCACTGTAACATTTATTATTCATTTTGTTTGGTTTGGCAAATTAGTTATATTCTACATCTGTGTGTTGTGTGATTAATTTAAGTTCATGTGTGTTTAATAACAATAATGAATGTAGGGTAACTCTTTATAATTATATGAGGAACTCCTGATGAATCGTATATTTAATGATTAGTTATTTTAGAAATAAGTGAGGAATTAATCACTTAATAATTGCTGAATCCTTAAAAATGTCACTAATAATTCACAATGGAGGAATGTATAGATGATGAGAACAGACTGAAAAAGCCTGATTGATGAATGATTAGTTCATATCAATCAATCAGTCGTTCCTCATTAACTGGTGAACAGTACAAAACTAATCAGTGACTCATTTATCACTAACTACTTAAACACATTTTATTTGTATTTATACAGTTTAAAGCACATTAATGGACATTCAAGTAAATGTGCCAGTTTAGCAAATATGACTAATTATCAGCTACAGTCACTGGGCAGGTTTAATGGCAGCTATAAAAAACACATTATATTAAATATATTAAACAGGAACAGTAATACTGTCCATATATCAGAGCATACTTCATAAAAACACATAAACCACTTAAAAAACAACAACAATAACAATAACAACAATAACAGTAGGCCTACATGAAGTACACAACCAAGTGCACTTCAGTGTATTTGAATAGGTTATGTAGTATGGTAACAACTGCTGTTTTTGTGCACCCAAACTGAAGTGATACCTTAACATCATCATTATATGTTGATTACTAGATATATCCTCATAGGAAATATCATTATTTATTCATTAAATAGTTATAATGCACTCCAGATGATATTGTCCTTATACAGGCTTTGGCCCATATGAGCAGCTTACTTTGTTTTCTTCAGTAGAAAAGTTTAACAAATCTCCCTGAAGTGCAAAATATATCAGAAAATGTTCATTTTATGTACATTTGCCTTATTTAAGTAAAAACTAGTTTACATTGTCTCAAGTATGTGGATTATAAAGCAGAATAACACTAATGACAGACTCAGTGACTGTCTGTCAGAGGATGTGTAAAGCCCCAAGTAACTTTTGTGTTTGCAGTCACCAAACTAACCTCTTTTTAATACAAAATTAACGGAAAAAGCTCACTGATTTTACTTCTAGTCTTTAAACAAACATCTTCTCTTATTGTTAAACTCATTTTAGTGTGTTTCTGATGTATTTTAAAGGATTTATAAGAGAAATCTGAAGGAAAAGACCCGCAGCAGAGCCTCTCACGGCGGCCGATGTGAGAGGTTTAAAGGCTTCCCAAACTAAATACAAACATCTTTAAAGCTTTATTTGACTTCCACATGTGGACAAACTTCTCCGCTATGATTGCAAATCATTTTTATACTTTAATGGGTCCTCCAGGTGTGTATTTTCTACATTTATTGGCGAGGAGAAAACACAAAGTGTCTGAGTATTCCTGGCGCAGTGGCGAGCGGCGGGCTGAGTTGAGTCTCCACGGTTCTCATGGTGTGTTTAAGTTCCTCCCTTGCCGGAGATTTCTCCATCAGTCATATCGGACTAGTCGAGAATTGAATCTACACGATGGCAGAAGTCGCACCAACCGCCGCCCCGGCTGCCCCAGCCAAGGCACCCAAGAAGAAGGCCGCCAAGCCCGCCAAGAAGAGCGGACCAGGAGCCAGCGAGCTGATCCTGAAAGCCGTGGCCGCCTCCAAGGAGAAGAAAGGAGTGTCTTACATCTCCCTGAAGAAGGCGCTGGCCGCTGGAGGCTACGACGTGGAGCACAACGCGGTCCACATCAAGCGCGCCGTGAAGAGCCTGGTGGGGAAAGGAGCCCTCGTCCAGACCAAGGGAACCGGAGCGTCCGGGTCTTTCAAGGCGAGCAAGACCGCCGAGAAGCCCAAGAAGGTGGTGAAGAAAGTGGTGAAGGCGAAGAAGTCTCCGGTGAAGAAGGCCGCCGCCAAGAAGCCAACGGCCGCCAAGAAGCCCAAAGCCAAGGCGGCGACCCCCAAGAAGGCGAAGAAACCTGCCGCAGCCAAGGCCGTGAAGAAGGCGACCAAGAGCCCCAAGAAGGTGGTGAAGAAGGCAGCCGCCCCCAAGAAGGCCGCTACCCCGAAGAAGGCAGCCAAGAAGGCGGTTAAACCCAAAGCCGCTAAGCCCAAAGCCAAGAAGGCAGCAGCAAAGAAACCAGCGAAGAAGTAAACAACAACAACCTGATCTTCATCAACAACGGCTCTTTTAAGAGCCACCCAAATCACAGAGAGCACTTTTCCTGTTGACTGTCTGATTTACAAAGTGGTTCAAATGTGTAAAATATAATGTAGTTTTAGTTGGAAACATAACGGAATTAGGATAAAATCAGGTGTTCTGATATAAATCAGTGGGATTTATAATCTAATCTGGCAGTTTGTAGTGAGGAGAGGACAGAGAGTGCAGACTGTATAAAGATTATATAGATAATATAATAACTTATAGACATTATAGGACTATTACACTATATTGAGAAACTTTTCAACATTTTAATAACTATAGACCATCTCATTCATGTTGCAGGTACATCAGTGGATTCAGTGTCAGTTGTTGAAACCCCAAATATAAATGAGATTATACAGTGTTTATAATACAGTTTTATATTGAGTCTTGATGAGGACAGAAAGAACAGACAGCCTAAAAGATATATATATATATATATATATATATATATATATACACACACACCAATCATTAATATTTCAGCTGGTCTGAAGACTTTATAAATATTTATGTCTTCAGAAAGTGCAGACTGTATAAAGATTATACAGATAATAAAATAACTTATAGACATTATAGGACTATTACACTATATTGAGACACTTCAACATTTTAATAACTATAGACCATCTCATTCATGTTGCAGGTACATCAGTGGATTCAGGTACTTGTGACTTTTCCTAAATATAAATGAGACTGAAGTGTTATAATATAGTTTAAATTGAGTCAAAATCACATTTACAAACACTCATGTAAGATGGTCTGAAGTCCATTTTGAATATTTGCAGATTATATGTTTCACTTGGTAGCTCACACAACTCTGTATATGTTGTATTATATATTTATTTGTATATTTAATAGAAAGCTCTTTAGTCTTGTGCATCAACAACACTTCAGATGAGAGTTAAGAACTGTCTTCATATATAAATATAAAACATTAACACAGCGTACGGGAACCCTATGGATGTATACAGATACACACACATATGTACACTTTTTTTACACTTATATTTATATTTTTATACCCATATATGATAATAATAATAATAATAAATGTCCTGTTTATTATACAACATGTTTTGTATCTTCTTTTTGTACGTTTCATATGTTCTTATTGCACCTTTTATGAGTCTGAATGTACAGTTTAGTTTTAAGTTTAATTTTCTGCTCATATATTTTCACACCATTCCCACTTGAACAATGCATAGTGTTTATACTTTCGTTTATAGGCTTATATTTTCTATTATATTTGGTAATATTTTATTTTGTGATGTACTCTGTTTTGCTCTACTTTACCCTGTTGCTGTTGTGTCGATCTGCTAAGGGGATCAATAAATGAATATCTTATCTTACGTTTGAAAGTTTTGTATTTTCTTAACTGCTGGTTTACTTTCTGTGTTCCTGCAATATAAACATCAGTTTCCCATTTTAATAAAGCCTGTACTGTCTCTCTCACCTGATCTTTAATGTATACATACATTCAATATTTTATTTAAAACAAATATGTATCTGATCAACACAGATGCACATCCCTGATGGGAACATGTTTGTAATAATATAGTAATATATATAGTAATAATATAATAATAATAGTTACTATTATATTATATTTGATTATTCATAGAGTAAAGGAGAACTTTATTTATCTTGAGATTGCTCAAAAATACAACAAAAAAAACAACAGTAATACATAATAATACTATAAATACTATATAAATAAGATATGATGAAGTATATAAGGAGCGACTACTAACACCAGTAAGAATAACAATAAAAGTAAGATAAATTTAATAATTACAAACAATATTTCCCTGTTATAAATTAAATATACAGTCATATAAAGTAGACACTTTGTACTCATGCAACCACCCAGGTGCATAATAAAATAAAATGTAGACTAATCAATCAATACAACCTCCTATTGATGAAACAACAATAAATCAGTGGCTCCAACAACAATGATTTTTTTCTCTGCTCCAGCTGATATATCACGTGCTTCCAGGGGACCAATCAGCGTCCGCGGCGCTCCGGCTCTGCCTATATAAGGCGGACTGAAACTCAGTGGAATCATTACTACTTCCCTGAAGTAAAGGATCGCAGTTACCGATCAACAATGGCAAGAACCAAGCAGACCGCCCGTAAGTCCACCGGAGGCAAAGCCCCCAGGAAGCAGCTGGCGACCAAGGCCGCCCGTAAGAGCGCCCCCGCCACCGGCGGCGTGAAGAAGCCCCATCGTTACAGGCCCGGTACCGTGGCTCTGAGGGAGATCCGCCGCTACCAGAAGTCCACCGAGCTGCTGATCCGCAAGCTGCCCTTCCAGCGCCTGGTGAGGGAGATCGCTCAGGACTTCAAGACCGACCTGCGCTTCCAGAGCTCCGCCGTCATGGCTCTGCAGGAGGCCAGCGAGGCTTACCTGGTGGGTCTGTTCGAGGACACCAACCTGTGCGCCATCCACGCCAAGAGGGTGACCATCATGCCCAAAGACATCCAGCTGGCCCGCCGTATCCGCGGAGAGAGGGCTTAAATATCCTCCACACCCTGAACGCAACACAACGGCTCTTTTAAGAGCCACATACTTCAACCTGAGAGCGGCGGTTCCAATATTAACTAATATATAGATCTGTAATGTAAACATTAAGTAACTGTAGAGACTCTAACGATATCTCTATAGTATTACACATTATTTAAACTTGAATTGCATAGTTAACAAGACACCACAATAGTCTATGCTGACAAATGTGTGAAAGATTCTAGATATGACTGCCTACTACTAGATAGACAGCAAAATATCTGCACATGACAGTAAAGTATTTAATGTAAATGGTCCCTAACAGAGAATATCAGGGCTCAGACTTTGGTTCCTTATGTTTACATTTTAAAGTCAGTCAGGAAGTCCCAGTGTTCATAATATGTATGTAGTAATATACTATATATATTGAATTATATATTTTAAATTCCAATAGAAATTCAGATAGTTAATAGCCAACAGCTGGTCCAAATGAATAGACCAAATGGCATGCAGGTTGATACGTTCATGCTTTTAAATGTACAATCAATTTCTTCCTCTTCACTCCCTTTAAAGTATTGTAAGCCTTTATGTAGTTTTATCTATAATAGTTCATGTTCTCAGAAAAGATCAGACCTCTGCAGACAGTCAATCCAAAAATAAGGAAAAATAAAACTACATATGTAGAATTACAGGATGACCTGTAACAGCCTAAAACAAGATGCTGGGAAACAAACACACGACCTTATATGGTCAAAGTACAACATGAGATATGATTTGTTTAGTTAAGGTTTGCCAAAAAGGCCTGGAAACAGGATGAGCGGTACACACACACACATAAAAAACTCAGGTGTAGTTTATGGTGCAGGAAGGAGTCACTTTTAACCGGGAGTTACACTGAATATACAAAATGGCGCCCGGATTTACACGTTCCACTATGTTTGTGACTTTAACATAATTGTAAAATAAATGTATTCAGATACTATATTTTAACACTATAATGATAAATATATAGTAATATAATGAAGTTATATTTATAATCTATATAAAGTGTGTTCAGACTCAGGACGGAGCTCTGCAGACAGTGTGGGTGGCTCTTAAAAGAGCCGTTGGGTTGTTGTTGTATTAGAGAGTCGTTGGTTTAACCGCCGAAGCCGTACAGGGTGCGGCCCTGCCTCTTCAGAGCGTACACCACGTCCATGGCGGTGACGGTCTTCCTCTTGGCGTGCTCGGTGTAGGTGACGGCATCACGGATCACGTTCTCCAGGAACACCTTGAGCACACCGCGGGTCTCCTCGTAGATCAGACCGGAGATACGCTTCACACCGCCACGGCGAGCCAGACGGCGGATGGCGGGTTTGGTGATTCCCTGGATGTTATCGCGGAGAACTTTACGGTGACGCTTGGCGCCTCCTTTACCGAGTCCTTTGCCTCCCTTGCCGCGACCAGACATTTTGTTACAGTCAAGATTCGTCCGAAGAGAAACTGATGGTTAACTGCTCAGGAGCGCCCGTATTTACATCCACTCTGCGGACGTATGTGAAGACAGGCAGCTCGAGCGACTGGGCGGCGACCTTTTTTTTAACAATAGAGACAATCAAACCATCGCCTTCAGAATAAAGGCAGGAAATGGCCACCTCATTTACATTATAATTGTGCGCCAAAATGTGAATATATTTCACCATTTTACTTCCTCCATGTAAAACTTTCAAACTGCTAATAAACTCTGACTGACAGCACTTCCTTTCTGTTTTATTTTGTTTGTTAGGGTCAGATGTACCAGACAGATATTAAAACACAAGAAAAGACTTTTTCCAGGATGTTATGTCCCCTTCAGTTTCCTCATTAAAACCTCTCACATAAGGAATCAACAGTGAAACTCAGTTTGTCATCCGTGTGCTCCTGAATATTTAAAGATAAGATTACATTTATTGATCCCACACTGAGGTTATTCTCTCACTACAGCAACATTAGGAAAATACCAGAAAAGAGAAACATAAAATAAGTTATATGTACAACGATCGATGTCCACTAACTGACCACTAAGTGGAAGCATTGTGATTTAAAATAAAGTTTTTACAGCATTAGTTTTACACAAACAGATGAGTCCTACATAGAGCTCATCTTTTCTGCAGTATTACGCCATAAATCATTAAAAACAGGAGGAATTATTTGCTTATTCATTTTACAATAATGAATCTATTAAATATAGACAAGTTTTCCTACATGCGTTACTAATATTGGAGTGAAAATCCTACAGCCTGTTGAAATAATCAAATCACTAGGGATGGGAATTGATTCCCTTATTGATTCCTGATTAATGTGTCCTACACAGGTATTCATCAGTTCAATAAGGGACAACAGTTACAAAACCTCGGCACTAAATATCATTTTTACAAAACATAGTTCAATATTTTTTATAATTGTACTCTGGTGGAAGTTAATCACTATTGATTGAATTCCTACCAAAATATCATAGAAAAACAACTGTGTAATAAAAGCTTTACTTGTACTTTTGTTTGCATGCTGTTACTGGATGCTTCAGTTTTAAATTAAACGTATGTAATGTGGACATGAAATAGTAAAACTATAGACAAAGTTATAATAGTTCTTTATTTTAAAGAGACAATGATAAACAATTAGTGAATATGCTTCAAGAAACCTTTGTTTAAAAGGACTGCATGTTACTACAATACTGTTGTAGACAAATATATTGTCACACGTTTTGAGGATCTTCTCATTAAATTCTTAAATTTCTCCCCAAAATAATGAAACTTTGCTCTTTCTGAATAAAGTGTGTGGCTCTTAAAAGAGCCTTTGGTTTGATGTTGGGAGGAAGCGGAGCCGTTTACTTGGAGCTGGTGTATTTAGTCACGGCCTTTGTCCCTTCGGACACGGCGTGCTTGGCCAGCTCGCCGGGCAGCAGCAGGCGGACGGCGGTCTGGATCTCCCTGGAGGTGATGGTGGAGCGCTTGTTGTAGTGAGCCAGACGGGAGGCCTCCCCGGCGATACGCTCAAAGATGTCGTTGACGAAGGAGTTCATGATGCCCATGGCTTTGGAGGAGATCCCGGTGTCGGGGTGGACCTGCTTCATCACCTTGTAGACGTAGATAGCATAGCTCTCCTTCCTGGTCTTCCTCCTCTTTCTGTCTTTCTTGCCGGGGGTCTTGGTCACGGCTTTCTTGGAGCCCTTCTTGGGCGCTGTTTTCGGTGCTGGATCAGGCATGATGAGTTACTCGCTGTTCAAGTGAGATACGTGACTGAGACGGTGGGCTGGTGCTTCTTAAATACACGATATGCAAATGAGCCTGCGCGGTCCCCGCTCTGTCATTGGTTGGTTGTTGGAACGTCAAGGACTGAACGCTGAAGTGTCTCAGCGCTACTCGGCTGTCTTTGTGTTGGTTTTTTGGCGGTTAAAAGTGAAAGCTTTATTTAAAATAAGATAAAGGCAGTGTCTTTTAAAATAATTCATCACTTTTATACCTCAAAGTTATTTTTCAAATATATAAAAAAGTTTTGTTTTTTTAAAGCTGTACATTGTTTCTGATTTTACTCTTTTATATGAAAATGTATTGTTGTTTTCTTACCCATTATTTATTAGTTTCTTTTATTGAATGTTTTAAAGTCCCTTTACTGAATGTTATTTTAATGCAAGACTTTATTTCCTGATTTTGTTCTTTTGAATTTGTTTGTTTTTGTTGTTTAAATGCATCTGTCATCAATAAAGTTATATAAAAAAGGAGATGAATTTCCACTTCAGTATGTTGTTACAGAAAATGTACTTTATTGTGTTTATTAGGCTTTATTGGGTTTATTATTCTTAGAGGAACATGTTGTGTTTCCTTTGTATTCTATAATTTCACAGCCTGATATTATCATTTAAAAAAGGTCCAGTGTAACATTGAGGAGGATCTATCGTCAGATGTATAATGTGATATTCATAGGTATATTTTCAATTAGTGTTTAATCAGCTGAATATAAGAATAATTGTGTTTTTGTTACCTGAGAATGAGACGTTTTATCTACAGAGGGAGATTTTAAAGATCTTATACAAAATATTTTACAGTTTTAAAAAGTGCAATATCCATAAAACATATAAAATAAAATGATAATTGATTAAAACACAATTTATTGATAAAGGAGCACCTTGTCAGTGCAATATAAACTGAAATATTATATAATCTATAGTATAAAACACATTTCAGTCTGAATCACACACACAGTAAGTTAACAATGACGCCATCTAGTGGATCAATCTGACTGTAAGTTCACTCAGTTTATTACAGTTGTACACATCACTGTTTATTATTTAATATTTAATATTTAAACTATTGAAAAAAACAAAGAAAAACTATATGGAATAAAACAGTTACAGTTATAAATCCTATTTACACCAATTTTATTCTTCTCATTATTCTTGTGCTTAGTTCATTATAATACTTATTTCAGTATAATTTCTATCACTTTATTACTTTATTTATACTATATATGTACATGTGTCACATTTAAGTTGCTTTTTATGCAGTAATTTTATCATATATATATATTTTATAAGAATGAGCTACAAAGCGATGATTGATTAATGATTAATAATTGATGATTAATCTCCCAGGGCACCAGAACTCAAAGGGCCCAGCAGGTTTACTTTGCATCAACTGGTCTCATTTAACTGAGAAATACTTTATTAAAGCACAAAATGAACCCACATATGTCAGATTGTAGGTCCTCTACTTGTTGGTTATTAAGTTGTTTAGTTGGTATTGAAAATGTATACTCAAGTAAAAACACAATTACTGGCAATTACCTATTCAAGTAAAAGTTAAAAAAAACTACCTATTTAATAAATTACTCAAAGATATTTTTAGATAAAAAGTAGATTACTGGCTTAAAAATATACTTCAGTAAAGTAAAAGTACAGTTTAAAAACAGGAACATGAGTTTTACTGGTTCCTTAAACAAACTTTACTCATGTGTGTTACTCACCTTTAGTTTTAAGGTGTTTAATATGTAAAATATCCCTAAATTAATGTGTTTAATTAAATAACAATGTACACAAATCCATCCACGTGCGAGACCTTTTCATTTCTGTAAATCTGTTGGGTCTTAAACTAAATAAACAATGAACCACAGGTGAGTTTGTTTCAGTTTATTTCATAACTCTTCTGCATATATTATTAACAATTTAACAAACAGGAGTCTTTTTTGTTAAAAACACAATGTAACATTAACGGGATGAGGTTTAACATGTGATACACTTAAACCACTTATACACAGAGAAAATAATTTGGCTTATTCAGACCAATTTGGCAGCGTTGTTTTGGGGAATGGTGTCAGTAAAGGTACTTGATGGACGGAGGCAGCTTCACGGATGATTCACACTCACAGGCAGCAAAGACTCCACACAGGAAGGGAAACTACCTCCACTACTGGTGGCAGAACACAACATCCCTGGATAGATATGAACGTATTCAATCGAAACCATGCATTAAAAGAAAGTTACACTTTGCAGGGAGATTCGCCTACAAACAGTTTGCTTTTCAAGAAATGTTGAAAAATGTCAAAAATGCAGCAAAAATGTGGATTTGATTGAATAAATTAACAAATAAACTAATTTGTGGACTTTGTGCTTCAGTTTGTGCCTCTGATGGGATCAAAGTTTGTACATGTGAGCTGTTTTCACCGTCTGTTCAACCAGATAAATGATCTATATTCGTATCAATACTCAGAACACCCTTTCACAAGCCCCGCCTCCTTTTTGCTCCTAAGTCCCGCCCCTTTGCTCTCTGCTCCAATAACAGTTGAGCAAACCTCATCTGTATCTAAGTACATTAAAGGAGGAAGTTGACCGAGGTTTGAAAAGGATCAATTGATATGGGTTGATCAGAAGCTGCTATATTGATTATAAAATAAATTACAGCTTCTGAATTGATGAGCTGATACTCGTATTTGTAAATTATCTGTATCGGATATTGATTTCAGTTTCAAGTTTTCTGAGCTTCTTTCTGCTTTCTGTGCACTGATCCTTAACTTCCATTTGTTCTCAGGATTGTACAACATTTAAATCAATAAAAAGTTATTGATATTGATATAACTGAAGCTAACGAGATAGCTAACCGACACTAAGCGGGGCTGCTAAAGGGACGGTTCAAAAAACACTCAAATGTGAAAATTTCCCTAAAAGGCACAAACTGAATCGACTGAATCACTGATGCATTTAATTGAGTCCATGAAGAAGAAAACTGTGTGTGTGTGTGTGTGTGTGTGTGTGTGTGTGTGTGTGTGGAGAGCTAATGGAGGATGTTTGTAGGACTTCAGGGATAAGGCAGGACATCTCCGATCTACACAGTACAGGGATAGCAGCTTCAAGGAAACACGTAACACATTTCACAACTGCAGAAAAACAGGATTGAAACAATAAAACAGGAAGTACTGTAAATTCTCAAATAGTGGCCTGGGTCTCTAATGGAAAGTTTCACATTAAAAGCCTTCAGTCGATAATCCCTTCACTTAAGACTTTTATTGTGAAACAATTACAGAAGTTTAAGTTTTATTAGTAGCGTAAAAGCACATTGTTTTTTCTTTTATATCCTGTAGGTCTGAACAATGCTTTTTATTTACATTTTCAAGAAGTCAAGAATATCGCACTTCTTTTCTCGCTAGTTTAACATTAATAGAGCAGATCTACTGCTAGCTTAGCAACTAGCGATCCAACGTCAGCTAACAAGGCACAAATCTAACGTTGAATTATTAAAGAAGCTAATGCTGCGTTCTCAGCGTCATATTGGAGCAGCCCAGTCTGGAATAAACTCGCTAACCCGCGACAGGAAACCGTGTCAGTGTCAGTAAAGTAGAAAGAGCAACAAAGGACGGATGCATCGCGATCGTTGTTTGAGTCACATGTGAAACAAAAAGGATGGTGTTGACTTATTTTAAGTTACATACGTAACACGATTTGCGATATTTTCCTAATCAAGTAGTTTTGTTGCCTAAACGTAACCAAACTGCACCCTTATCAAGCTTTTATTTTGAAAATGTAACTGGATGTTGCATATTTATTATTGCTAGCTTCATGTCAGAATGTGTTGGAAACGTGACACTGACACGGTGGACCAGTGTGTCTGTTAGCTAGAGATGATAAAGATTCCTGTTTTTATCTTTCAACTCAAGACGGCTGTACAATCGCAGAGTTGGTGGTTTGAGGACAATAAAATACAATTATTACCTTAAACAATGGAGTTATTTGTTAGCTTCAAGATGGTTGTTTCAGAGGTTACCAGTCAAATTTGACCTTTTCGAACTCGGGAATAAAACATTTATAGCTTTTAATTTAGGACCAGATATCATTTCTTACCCAAAGGTAGGTTTAATGGTGGACTTTTATCTGAGTTTGCACTTGTCTTTACAAAAGCACAATGAACATAGCATCAACATCGACTACCAACAAACTGATTATGGATTTTAATTATTGGCCTTTAGGAAGAAGATATGGTACAAAGGCCTTGAGATGTGGTTGAAAGCTCTGACGCTAGTTTATGAACCTTTGTGGTTTGATTTGGGAATAAATGATTCTTTAACCTGTAAAGACAAAAGTAGTAACTTACATAACTCCCATGGACTCGAGTCACTAATTTGATGACTTTAAACTCAACCTGGACTTGAGACTTTTGATCTGAAAATACTTGACACCTTTCCCCAAAGCCCAGCACCCTAATTCAGCACAACCCTAACCCTAAACAACAAAAACCTGATTTGTTGTGCCATTTACCCTACATATTAAGTTCCAGACCTCGGTCAGTGTACTTTGCAGCCAACAGATTTTATTTTTTATAATGAGAAAACAAGTTTCTTCCTGACAACAGCTTGTTTTCCATTGTTTTTTGTCCTGAAAATAAAATCTGACTTTATTCAATGTGCTTATAAATGTTTTAAATTACTTGTTTTTGTTTTCCGATTTTATTTTCACAACAGAAAATGTTTCTTTTTTTTGTTTATTGTTTTTTTTATTTTGAAAATCAAAAAAGGGAAAACTGTTGGCCCCAAAATACACCGACTGTACTCTCAGTAAGAAGTAAGGGTGCCGTCCCATTTCAGACATATAAAAACATTTAGACAAATAGGTTAATTTCCTGAATGTTTTTCATTCAGTTTGTTGGATCCAATCAGGTTTAAGGAGAGAAACATGAAGAACTGACTGAAAAAAATACACCAAATAAATTTGTTTTGTTCTGTTGTTAAAATTACATTTATATTAGGTGATGACTCAAAGTTCAGGACTTGATCCCACCTCTGGTCATTTCTTATCTTACCTGGACCAGGCTTTTATAGGAGACCAGGCTTTTATAGGAGACCGGGCTCATTATTCAGCTTTTATTTGAGAATTTACAGCATTTTTTTTTTCTCCCATTCTGCCGAACTCACTCATTCATTTTTCTCACGTACGCTCATGCCACTTATAGTTGCTTGATTGATATGTAGGAGGAAGTACAAAATAACAGCAAGAAGAACAGGCCACACAAAGGTAGATAATACTAAATACTTCAGATTCAAGCCCCTGAAACATACAGTAGAAACCAAAAACATCGCTCAAAAAAATAATAAATCCAACAGCTAAGATGAGCTGACGAGAGGAGCCTGCGGTGTCGGCCCCAGACTGCGAGACCCTGAATGCATCTTGCTGTTAGGGACACTAACTTTGTTATCTGAGATAGGCTATGGCTTTGGCCCTGGCGAGAGCGGGAGGGGATGCGGTTGAGGAAAACTAAACTCGGACAAATCGTCTTCAGCGACAACCAAACATCCTCTCTCCCTTAAAATGTGTTTTTGTTTTTTTTTTTCCCTCCCCTCATCTTTACACCGTTATCATTTTAGAAAAATAGAAATCAGGAAAACATCATTACAAAAATAAAACCAAAAAGTTCGTCAAAAAGTCTACATCCACATGACAACTTCACATAAATATGGACTGATATTGCACAGCGAGGGATTTTCTTCTGATATGAAGGAAATCACTGACACAATTTGTAGAAAAAAGAAAAAGAAAAATACGTTTAGGACGTTAAAATGATCAAAATTTTGCATGTCCTGGTTAGGTTTTTCTTTTTTTTTTATTTGTTGTCTCCAGAGAGATAAAGTGTGGGAGCAGCAGCAGTATGATCCCAGGCCCTCCTACATCAGGCAGATTTATCCTCTGAGTCCTGCTCCAAAGAAAAACAACAACAACAACAACAACAACAACAAAAAGCAACAAAAAAAAAAGCAAAAGCTTCAGAAGTATCACTGGTGAATTTTGGTTGAAGGCACAGAGTTCCAGAAAAGGGCGGTTGGATGCTGATTGTTTGAAGTGCAGCAGCAGTTGTTGGTGAGCGTCCTGGTGGAGGCGGATCGACTCTCCTGATGGTCGGAGGGCAGGGCTTCAACTCTCTGTGGACACAACGAGACCAGAGTTAAAAACAGGTGAAAGATGTTGCAGGAGAGTTTTCAGAGAGATCTGTAGTCTGTAGCACCGTTATTAATTAATAAATCAACACTGAACATCATCACAATCTCACACAAGACTCTACAGGTGAATAGGGTAAAAAAAAACAAAAAAGCTAAATAGAAATTACCATAAAACCTCTCTCGTTAATTAGTTTATTATTTATTGTATTAAAAGTTGACATTTTAAATGTTTTTAAAATGCAAATGAGGTATTACGTAACAAAAATGTGCAGATTTGTGGACATTTAGACAGAAAAAAGAACACTGCTCTGTGATTTGCCTTTAAATGTGATGAATTGTTATTTTTTTTTCTAAAAATGACCTTTATTCTGAAAAACCACACACCCATTTAAAGAAAAGACACACTGTCGTAAATCACAATATAAACAATAATAAGTAACAACATACACAGTACAGACAATAACAGATATGGTTCCAGTTTATGAACTTATTGAATTTGGTATAAAAGACTCTTGGTTGCAGCTCTATAGCGCCCTCCAGAGGGCAGTTCTATGAATTCATTAAACAGGGCCCACTTAGGGCCTCTTAGGGCCTCTTAGGGCCTCCGTAGAAAATATTTTCCAGACTTGAATTTTGTACAGAAACCGAAGCCGTGAGATGAACTTTCTCTCTGTCGGGTTATTACAGAGACACATTTAGTAAAAACAGCTTAAAGTGAAGAGCCTGGCTCCTGAGAGTGGGCGGTTCCTGCAGGGTGGTCGACAGGTCAGCGTCTATACGTTTGCCTAGAGTCCCCCCCCCACCTTTCACCATCTTCCTCGAAGTTAATCCTCCCCGCAGCGGCAGATGGTGCTGGGAGCATCCACGGCTGCGGCCTCAACAGCTCCTGTAGTTATGAATGATTGCACGGTCTTAGGCATTAAGTTGGATCAGCGTAATCCACCGCAGCATATGCAGCCGCCCGCTGGGCCAAATCCAGCAGCCTGAACTTCCCTCCATCACTTTCCCCCCTCGTCAAACGCCTTCCAAGGAGGCCGCGAGGTGTTAACACGGCCTCTTACATCGCGCCCTGCTGCTCCGTAAACACATCAGCACCCGGTTCAAAGGTAAAGTGTCACTATCAAACTACCAGCTCTGACTTTATGGTTGCACAACAACTACAAACTGGAGGCGTTATTCTGAGATTAAAATAAAAACATAGAGTTTAATCTCTTTCAGCTAACCTGAAGTTCCCACCAGAGAGGTGAGACATTAGCATTAGCATTAGCATGCACTGTACAGATCAATCAATTGTTCATCTGATCAATACACAATAGGGCCGTCACCTTTCATTCATTGGCTCAATGTGTGCTGGGAAGACGACAACATACTGAAGGTGGTTATAAGATAATAATAAAGCATCATGTTGCAGCGTATTTTAGAATAATCTATATTATATAATCGGATTATAATTATTGATTGATTAACGTTGGGCATCTATAATAATATGTCATATTTTATTTATTGATTATATTTTGTATTAATCTGAATCTTAAATTAATGTATTGATGTAAAAAGTAAAACATTTTCCTCTGATAGAAACATAAAGTGTAAATATTTCTGTTTCATTGACCTTCGCTCACATTTTCATTTTCCATTCATGAACAAATCCCTTCACCTTCCTGTGACCTCGCTCGTGAGGATTTTTCTGAATGGCTTACTCATTGATCACCCTCCGATCGCTGATCTCCGACTGATTGATGATTAAACTCAAACTGGGAGTCACATCAGGTATCCAGTCCCCAAAAACATCTCACAACATATTAAATCCAAATATATGACTTTAAAAAAGGCTTTAAAAAGTATTAAATGATCATAAATTCACAAAGGTTTTGTGGTTTATTTATATTTTACCGTCCTGCTTCCCCAAATACTCACTACAGCATCAAATGTGGATTCATCCACCTCTGAAAATAGTCCCTAACAAATTCTCTATTTTTTGATAAAAAGTATAGTGAAACTTATAAAAGCACATTTCCACCAATGTGACAGGAAAATAAGGATTCTGTGAGTCATAATGTAAATTATAATGACTTAATATCTCAAAATATTATATATATATATATAAGTTTCTCATTATTTTGACTTACATGATCTTTTTTTTTTACGCAACATTGGCGTAAATGGGTTTCCATAGAAAACGACATATCTGTGAGCTGTTTTTAAAGATTTACGTCTTCAGTATAAACTTCAGTAGAAAGTACTGAGACTCAAAAAATTAACTTCAAACTTCTAAATGTCCAAATTTAGATGAGAAACAATTATTTACCCCGGACATCAATGATTCAACCAGTCAATGTGGAGTATAAAAAATCTCAATTACGTGTTATATTTCTTTATATTTGGTCTTTGTTATGTTTATATAGTGCGGTCAGTCTCAGGATCGTCCACTAGGTGGTGCTGCAGTATTTCTCCAGATTTCCCTCCTCTCCTGTGTGGGAGGTTTATTCCTTTATCTCTTGTGTGTGTGTGTGTGTGTGTGTGTGTGTGTGTGTGTGTGTGTGTGTGTAGAGAGAGAGAGATGCTCTGTTTTGTTTACTTCAACTGTTGTACTTTTCCTCTAATGTCCTTAAAAAAAAAAACCTGTTTGTGTGATTATTTCCAGGAAGTCATTTTATCATTAAAACCCTCAGGACAGGATGAGCTTGTTTCTCAGGACAAAAACCGTCTAGGAAGCTTTAGATTGGCGGAGGTCGTTCCTTTCCACACACACACACACACACACTTGACCTCTGCAGATGTAATTTTACATTAAGATGAAAACAGTGACATTTGGACGCTCTCTCTCGCTCCAGCAGTCTCATTCCCCTCAGGACTATTTTAAGCATGAATGTGTCGTGTGTTTGACGATGCAAAGCAGATTAAATACTCTCTCTGTATATATGTGTGTGTGTATTTATACAGTGTTTATAATGTGTGTGTGCAGGCGGTATGGAGGATTCACCACTAAAGAAGCTCGTCTGGCGTTGCACGGTGGGAATATATGCACAGAGAAAAGCAGTGTGTGTGTTAGATCTGATGATTCACTGCTGGGGTTGTTGAAACATCACGCTAACCTGGAGGGTGTTTTCATTTATTTATTTATTTATTATTATTAATTTTCAGCTTAGAAACTGTAGGAGAGATTTTATTGTTTTTTTGTGTTGTTTTTTTTTTTTTTTTTCTAACACTCATTTGGATTTATTTGTGGTTGCCATGGTAACCGCTTCCAATAAGCTTTGGTGACCTTGACTCTCTCTTCCAATTGATACAGTCACATACATACATATATAGTACATATTATTATTATTATTATTATGAACATAATGTGGTTGCTGAAGGTCATTTGCTTGAATCAATTCTTCCCACAGTGGCCGTTATAAAGTTGTATTGATGTTCCAGGCAGGAGTACGGAGTCTAAGTAGTGACAAAATGTTGCTAACAAAGAATCTGATGAGATAAAGTACATATTAAAACATGTGAGTGTTAAAAAAAACATAATTATGAGTTAATTTAGACAATATTACAATAATAATCATTGTTAATAATAAATAATTAAAATCTTTCCATTTTAAAGTGTTAAACTAATTTAAATGTTTTAAACTTCACTCTTTATTTATGTTTCCACGTATACTTTACTTTTATTACTAATGTAATAATAAAATGTTTATTCTTCTTGCATTTTATTGAATTAACTTTAAGACTATTTATTAATTTTGTGACTGAACTGTAGCTGCACTACACCGTCGTCATTTTATTCTCAAAGTTTATAAAAACAGACATTTGATTTTTTATTATAATCTATCAGCAGCTTTTATTCATTTTTTAATTATTCATTTATGTGTAACATTTGTTTCTTTTGGGACTCCGTACACGTACAGTTCAATATCTTCAATGTTCAAACTCTTTGTTTCCTTTAATACAATTTATAATATAATAATAAAACAAACCGGCTGTAAAATATGAAAGACTTAGATTACAATAAATATGGGGTACAAGAAGTGACAATACTTTTTTATTATTATTATTATTATTATTATTATTATTATTATTATTATTATTATTATTATGTGTCCCAGAGTCATAAAATCATACATTTTCCAGACTTTGAACATTTAAGATATTGATTATAATCAGCTCTATGAGCCGCTTTAAAGCAAGAATATCAGCGTTTGAATTAAAACGTTCTCAGAGACAGCGATGGCTGAAGAGGTGTGGCTGTTGGACCTGTTTTTTCACCAAAGACCCTCCCTGACCTCCGGCTGTGAAGATGGCCTGCGGATCACGTAGCGCGCTCGGCATTATGTACTTAATAACAGACACTGCAAATCCCAGCAGGTCGGGTCCCAGCGACAGTCAGCACGGCGCTCGATGGAGCCTGCAGGACTTAACTTGAGCCAAAGTGTTTTTGCAGCCATTACACAAATACGGCTGCAGTTTTAAAAGGATCTGCACACATTTCAGACCTCAGCAGAGGGAAACACACACACACACACACACACATCTCAAATCTGGATGCATAAATTGACCGTATCCAAATCTTTTCACACCCAACCAACTTAATCCAGGGACGGTCTGGCTGTATTTTGCATGAGGGGCACTCAAAAGGAGGCCTACAGCTGTTACTGTATATTATACACAAAATACCAGGATTGGTTTCAAACAAACAAAATGATGCATTGAAGTAGTTGCCAAGCTAACGCTGGCTGGCTCCAGCACTGAGTCCGTCTCCATAAAGGCCTCGTATTAAAATGTCTTAACAGTTGATAATTTCCCACTTTCCCGCTCCCGATCACTCTGATCAAAACCTTTTATCTGTTGTTGTTTGTATGTTTAAATCCAGAAAAGTTTTCTTGGTTGTTGTTAAAACTCATTTATATTGTTGATGTATTTTATCCAATTAATGAAGCTCTTTGTAACAGTGTGTGATATAAATAAACACATTATTATATTATTATTATTAG